ACACAGTCGAAGCACGTGCTGTTAGCCAGGTTGGGACAGCACACGAGGGGATCGGTAACCAGCACCACGCCCGGCTGCCTTTGTCTCCCTAGTAACGTTTTACACACCACACCAGATACTCATTTGAGGCTGAGTCGACCTAGGAGAGGCCCAGGACCAGATCAGATAATGGTGACCGGTGTCGACCGTGAGTAGGAATCGAACTCGGGTCGCTGGGTGCAAAGCGTGCTAACCACTGTGCCACCAATCCCCACAAACACACACACACGGGGGAACGTGCACACAACAACAACCGCCATTCGCCACTAAGTGGCGGTGATGTCACCACGGCGCTTGTGCCAGGCTATGTGCATGTTGAGGCCATGTGAAGTGCCGAACGCCCGCCGGCAGGAGGTCACGGGGCAGACCCAGGTGCCACGGGTCGTCTGACTGAGATGAATGGCCGATGACGCGCACACAGGCCCTCGTGCACACTCAATTGCACACCCAACCTACTTACACACAAACACACTCCCAGCGCGAGGCTGTCTCACTACATCTCACGGAGGATCACTGCGCTGAACAAAATAGGGAAAGAGGCAGTGATTGGCTGGTTGCAAATGCAAACACGGAGTAGGCGTCAAGAAAGCGAGAGATAGAAGTGATAAGATGGGGAGCACGTGTAGGAGACACCGGGAGGACTCCGACTTAACGAGGGTCACCTGAGGACTCTTAATGAGGAGGAAGATGTAAGGGGATATTTGAAGCAACGGGATTGAGTTGGTTGGAGATGAAGAAGTGAAGAAGTGAATGCAAGAGAAGTCCAGGACTTCGCCCTCCACACCTCGTCCTACCCAGTGGTGTTGGCTGAACCCCCGCTCAGGGCACGGGCGAGGTTGGAGGTGTGGGTGTAGTAACAGACTAGCGGAGAGGAGCCTAGCGGAATCATCAGTGTGAGTTTGATAGGCAAGAAGAGAATAGACTAGGGGATATCAGTGTTTTATTTATTTTTATTTAGTTTATTTATTTGGTATAGCCCTGTGAGCCATTCGGCTCTTGAATCGGGTGCAACCACAAAAAACAAAAACACGAACAAGAAAACATCTTAAAGTGACTATGTGACTGTGCAAACAGAAAATCCATGAAAAAAACAGCAAAATATTCCTGAAAAAGCACCGTACACCAAAGCTGTGTGCAAAAATCCCAGTGGGATGCAAGTCAAACAACAACAACCACAAGAAAAACTTAGATTGAGGCTTAGGGTTAGGGTGTCCAAACCAAAAAACGTTTTCGAAATGACCAAAAAATAAAGCCATAATTGCAATGTAACGGTGATTATAGGGACTGTGGCCGAATTTTTACAATAAATTACATAAATAACATGTAACACCAAACCCTAGAAACCCACAACAACAGAAGCATCAGTCGGAGTATTAAATTTTGCAATGCACCTTTAAGATCAGCACACTAAATTAAAATAAGATAATACTTTGCATCGTCATCCGGAGCAAAACATTTTATTTTATTTTACGCCAATGAATAACAGTGGCAGCTAGGGGTGTACAACTCCTCTAGAGCAGTTTTGAGAGATCTCATTTGTAGCGATTCAAGTTGCAGTTTATTGGCAATAGCATTCCAGATCCTGGGGGCATCAATAGCAAAGGCCCTTCCTCCAGTTCTTGTACGGCAATAGGGAATGTGAAGCTGGTAAATGATCGAAGACCTGAGGTCAAATTTGTTCTTTTTTAACGGAGAGGAGATCCAGCAGGTAGTCTGCGGATTTTTTTGTAAGTACATCGTGAATAAATAAGATCTGGTGCACAAGCCGTCGAACATTAAGATATGTTAAGTTTGACCCAATGTAGAGATCACAGTGGTGAGTACATCGGTAGGACATCTTCATTCATAAGAAATTCAGAACATATTGTGAATGTGATTAAAGATATTAAACTTAACCATAATTATATTCTGGTAAGTTTTGATGTGATTTCTCTAATCACTAAGGTTCCAGTGAACGAATCGCTTAAATTACTTGATACACTAGTAACGAATACAGGTTTACCAAAAGATATTCCGAAACTTGCTGACCATTGTTTAAATAACACTAACTTCTTATGAAGAAGGGATTTCTTTAAACAAAAGGAAGGAGCAGCAATGGGCTCTCCTTTATCTCCTGTTATAGCAAATCTGTACATGGAAAACTTTGAAATAAGAGCACTTTCCTCGAGCACATTAAACCATCTTTTTGGTTTAGATATGTGGATGACACTTTGGTTGTCTGGCCACATGGTAAAGATACACTTAATGATTTTCTAAATCATCTCAATGCACAAAACCCAGCCATCCAGTTCACCATGGAAATGGAGGTGAACAACACACTCCCGTTTCTAGATATTTTGCTTGGACATGACCTAAGCACACACACACTCACTGCACACACACACACTACACACACACTCACTAGACACACTGTTGTATATGTGGGTTATGTGAAAATTTGATGAAAATAAAAATTGAATGAAAATTGAAATTTGCATAATTTATCCGAAATTATGTTTAATTTGTGTAATTATGCGTATAAATTATGCGTATAAATTATGCTAATTCGAGAGATAATCGTATTAATGTATGTGAGTGGGTGTGGTTATGTTAATGACAGCCTTTATGATAATCAGGACCCGCCTCGTTGACGAGGGTTGGTTATCAATCGGGATAATACAATTATTCTCGTATGCCGTTATGCAGTTTTGACATTTATTGAGTATGGATTAGTGTGTTTATGTAAGGTCACCAAGTTCATATCTCAACGCAGAATCAGTTCTTATGCATAATTCAGGAAAGAAACACACAACACTTCTGTGTTAACCGATTTTATTTCTAACTAACTTTAACTGTAAAAGATGCAACTCTTGGCTCGGAATTCCAACAGTATCAACACAGTATCATCATGACTGCGATTTTTCACTGACAACAGCACATTGATTCATTGCCCACGTAACGCGAGCAGTTGGTGAGAGAGTCGTTAAAACATCTAAACAAAAAAAACACCTTGATACTCTATTATGAAAGATTATACTGGAATTTGCACACAGTACCGCGTTCATTCATAGATCCATGAGCAACCCTTATCACGTTGTTAGCACATTGGGTCATGGAACAGTTGAGTATTCTGTAGAGTACGCGAGTATGTGCGTCGATCAGTAACGAAAGGTACTTAAAGATTACATGACGATATTCATACGAAAAGGCGATCAAAACAGTTATTATTCCCAAAGGCACAAATATATCAACAGATCCAACGGACAGATTATATGATTACCGAAATGGCTTAGAGTGAGGGTGTGGAGTGGGGTGCGCTGTCTTCCCTGATACCCCTATCTTGGGCCAACGTTTAATTAATTGTGGACCAGATCGCCTGATAAGGAAGCCGGTTGGATACACTATTCCCCCACGTGAGCATAGCTCCGTGGCGAAGGTGTCAAGGATTAATTTGTATTGATAGATCGGTTGGTATTTTATGCGATTAGAAGTACAGTCAAAAAACAAAAGAATTAAGAAGGAAAATTACGAATATACTTATAAACGACAGAGTGTTCACTCGGTCTGCCGCGATGCCTTCACGGCCACTGATGGTTTGTGGACTTGAGTATCGGCTTTTTGGTTAAGAACCCGTGTATGTTTGAGGGATATAAATCGTGTTGAATAGTCAGTGTTCGGAGTTGATTCTTTGCGTCAAACAGACGCCTGGTTTGTCGTGTGGTGGGGGGGCAGTGCACGTCATACATATCAGTCGATTCTTCTGTCACCGTGGTTGATTCGGTTCGGCCCACACTGGTTGACGTAGGTTGACCAGTTGACACGTTGTTGTAGTTGCGATGGCCCGTCGGTAGATGGCGCACACTGCTCGCTCGTAGCGTGCGCGGTGGTCGATCTTCTGCAGGGATGAGTTGAGCTGGTAAGCTGGTCTTGTCCGCTTGCTGATGAGTTGAGTCGCGAAGTGGCACTGGTGGCGCACTGTGACGCTGGTGGCGCGCAGTGGCGCGAAGTGGAGTGCGCACTCTGGCGCAAAGTGGCGCACTCTGGCGCAAAGTGGCACGAAGTGGCGCGCAGTGGCGCGAAGTGGCGCGCTGTGGCCCTGGTGGCGCGCGCTGGCGCGCAGTGGCGCGCAGTGACGCACAGTGGCGCGAAGTGACGCACGCTGTGGTGCGCAGTGGCGCGCTCTCTGGCGCGCAGTGGCGCGCTTTGGCGCGAAGTGGCGTGCCCCGCACACTCTGGCGCGCACTCTCTGAGTTTTTAATGCTGTAGTGTCCTATTTTATGCCAAAATCCCTCCACTTGGCTCCTCCCCACAAGGTGGAGCTTTTGATTTAGCTGTGTGTCGTGGTCTGGAGTGTGTGTCCGTATGTGCGTCCGTCCGTATGTGTGTCCTTGTGTGCGTCATTTACGGCATGGTTCTGTTGCCTCCTCTTTCAAAAAAACAACAGATGTTACAAATCGTCTCAAGGGCGCCTCTCTGTCTGTGTTGCAGGAAGACAAAAGGGTCTCTCCTTCTCTCCATTGCCCTTGGTTTATTCACCCCACTATCCTGGCCCCTCTCCAGTCCTCATTAATTTTCGTCACTCTGTGTAGCTGCGGTGGGGGAGTGTTATCTACGGGTTCCCAGCCTTCTCTGCTTGTACGTGTGGTGTGTTATCCATCTAGCTCACACTCTACTGAGAGAGAGGCTAGCGGGGTGAGAAGCTAGCAGAGTATACAATAAGAGGCCAGCAGAAACCAGGCTAGCGGAGCCATAGAGAGTGAGCGTCCGTGACAGGCAGCAGAGCTCGGAGTAGCAGGCTAGCGGAGCAAGAGAGGGAGAGTTCGCGACGGAAGTACGTGGTGTTGAACGTGAGGAGCCTCCGTGTAGGAGGCAACGCATGAAGTGACATAGGAGAAAACGATGAAGTTGTCCGCGTGAATAAACGCCACTACACATGCATGATCTGTGTTCTGCACTCTTTTTGTGTTCCCCTATTCTTTCAGAGTGCTTCCAGTCACTACACCCCTGACTAAAGCCACCGACCTTGCTGGAGAATAGTTTGCATGCAAAACAGTACACACAACCTTTTGAGGGTGAGTACAGTAGCCACTGTCTAGAAACCTGCCCATTTGGCAATATACAGTTCAGAAGTTAATTGTTGAAGCTTCTAGTCTTTCCACCAAGTGCTCTATCTTGGACTGAAACTGGGTATTTTTCACTGCGGTTGTGGAAAGGTATTGCTCCTCTTTCAAAAAGCACTAACTTAATAATGTCACTGGAAGTGCTTTGCCATAATGCAGGGTCAGTGACCTCATAGCACCAGGAATGGCTTGGTTGTAGATTTTATTCTTGTGAACTGCCCAACTGCTCCAGAGGTGGAAATGATGGTTCTTGTGTACCATTAGCTGTTGAGGGTTCGCCTTCAAAGGTGGCTCTGGGGGAGTGACAACATTACTGGAAACTGAACTAGTGCTAGTTCCTTCCTTACAGCTGACAATAGTGCTGCTGTCATTAATATCATTATTACTCTCAGAGGGGTTTTTTTAAGAAGTTGGCAATGAGTGGAACACTTTGAAACAAAACTGCCTCTCTCGCCTCCTTTTTTTTGGCTTTTCTTTTTAAAGCACCACTATTCCAACGTTTGTGGTCCATTTTCAGAACTAGTATGCTAATTATCTTACCTATAAAAGACATTTTTTGTCAGTCTGTCTTTCTGTCCGTCCATCTGTCTATCTGTCTGTGTATGTGTGTGTTCGCACAGGAGCCAAGAGACTGAATCATTACCCTTGGGACTCCTCCAGAAACAACAAAAATCCACTACGTGTGGCCACGTGGAATGTTCGAACGCTCACTGCGGAGGAGAGGCTGCCACTCCTCTGTCGGGAGCTAGACCGGTACCGCCTGGATCTCTGTGGTATTCAGGAGGTCCGGTCGACTGGCTCTGGCTCCTGCCACCATGAGGGATGGACAGTCGTCTTCTCGAGGCAGGAGACTGCCAAACAACAGGGAGTGGCTCTTCTTCTGAACAAAAGAATGAAGGGGGCGTGGGAGCGTGGCGGTGAGGTGTGGGAAGCTGTAAGCCCCAGGCTTCTTTAGGCTCGCCTTCCCATCAACCAAAGGCGAGGAGTGGTGGTCGTAGTTACTTATGTCCTCACTGAAGACGAACATCCGTGGAGGGATGCAGGCACGGCCGATGAGTCAGATGCCTTCTATGACCTCTTGTCACAGGTGCTAGCTAAAGTGGCCCCTCGGGATAGAGTCATCTTGTTGGGTGACTTCAATGCCCGAGTTGGTCATGATGCTGGCACCTGGTCTGGAGTGATTGAAAGGCATGGGCCAGATCAGCTAAATATCAACGGCAGGAGGCTGCTAGATTTTTGTGCAGCCCATGGGCTTGTAATTACCAACACGCTGTTCTGGCATCGACACATCCACACAACATCAAGGATGCATGCTAGGTCCAAGCAAGACCATCTGCTGGACTACATAGTGACAGAACCGCGGATGCGGGCCCATGTCCTTCACACCAGGACTTACCGTGGAGCTGATGTGCCCACTGACCATCGACTTGTCATCTGTAAGATGCGCCTGCCATCCTTCCACTCCAGTGGTGGGTGTACACCCAGGAGATTTGATACAGCTATTTTGCTGTGACTGTTCCACCTGAAGACAGAAGCTTGTGTTGCCTCCGAAACGTCGTGATTTAATTTAGTTGTTTTCATTTATTTTATTTTACCTACGTGACTTTGCCAAAAAATACAAAGAGTATGTACACCCAGGACCCCATTGAAACCCTTGGTGGCATGGTCTCAGCTAGCTGATGCAAGTTGCAAGCGAGAATTTAATCATCGCTTGTGGCTGGGGTTGGCATCGTCCCGCACTCCTCCTGATGTCGAGGGGAAATGGGCGAGGTTTAGGACTGTGGCGCATGCAGCTGCAATTGCTGCTTTGGGTACACGGTCCAGACCTCCCCAGAGACCCTGGCTAACAGAGGAGGTGTTCAAGCTGGCTGAGAAAAAGCGACAGGCCCACTCTCATCCGCTACAGCATCCCACGTAAGAGAATGAGGAGGCTTACCGCAGCCTTCGCTCGGAGGTTCAGAGAGCCGTGAGGCACTGCAAGGATGGGTGGTGGTCACGGGTTGCTGAGGAGATGGAGTCTGCCTCAATGGCCCGCGATCTCAAATTGCTCTTTAATTCCATCAAAAAAGTAATCTGCAGTGCCACACCTATTACCATCATTAGGGGAAAGAATGGTGATGCAATCTCCAACCCCCAGGAACAGGTTTGCAGATTTGCTGAGCATTTCTGTGAGGTCCTGGGGGAGGGGACATCCTACAGCCTGGATAACAATGTGGGACAAAGTGGGAATGATCCTGCCGAGGCTGCGGTGCCTCAAATATTGGAATAAGTCACCCCCTGTGAGTGGCTAGCTGAGGTGCCATCTGTTGAGGAAGTTCTAGAAGTGATCCAGAGTCTGAGACCAGGAAAGGCACCGGGCATAGATGATCTCTCAAGCGAAATGCTGAGGGAGGGTGGCATTTGTGCACAGACTGCCCTACATGACATCATAACAACAGTCTGGACCACATGGACGGGTTACGCAGGACTGGAAGGATGCCCTGGTTATCCACCTTTTTAAGAAGGGGGACCGCACAGACTATAATAACTACAGGGGCATCTCACTCCAGTGTGCCGGGAAAAGTGCTGGCAAGGATGATTCAACATCGCCTTGCTAGGCATGCTGAGGAGAGGCTTGCGGAGCCCCAGTGCGGTTTCAGGAAAGGGCGGTCCTGCACAGATGACATTTTCTGTCCGTCTGCTACAGCAGAGGTGTAGCGAATTCCAACAAGACCTATATCTCTGCTTTATTGACCTGGTCAAGTCCTATGATACCATGAGTCGACCTGGGCTCTGGATAGTTCTTCGTGTAGGTTTGAAGCTTTCGTGACTGCAAGAAAAGAAAATAGATCACGACGTTTCGATTGCAACACAAGCAATCATCATCAGGTGGGAAAACCACAGCAATATTTTTTTTTGCTGAAGTGGGAGAGAAAGCTGCCGTGGCAAGAGGTTATATAGGTAACAAAGGGAGGAGGAGCAAGGGGGGAGAGAGAGGGGGGTAGGGGAAGGGGAGCGCTGCGTGGACGCTAGGAGAGGGGGCGTGAGGCTGGGGGGGGGGGGGGAGTGGGCGGGGCTGGAAGTGGGAGGCCGAGAGAGCTGAGGATGTGGGGGGGAAGTTAACTCGGAAAAATAGACTAGTACCCGGCAGATATGATAGACAACAATCATAAAGCAGTTAGGGTTTTACCTGGTTAATAACATCCTTCCAATGATTGTTCAATTTGTATCCATCTTCTCGATTGAAGTTATGTCTATGTTTATATATCTGGATGGCTTCATGAACAAACCTTTGATAGTTGCCCGAAGGTTTGCAGAGTACCTTGGTCTCAGAAAAAACAATATCATGCGAGCCCACAGTCGTTATAACAATGGTCAGCTACGGCAGAAAGAATCAAAGAATATGGATTCCTGCAGTCACGAACGTTTCAAATCAAACGTTGCAAAGTTGAACACGTAGTTGTATAATATGTAATGAAATGTGCGAAGTGCATCAGTAATTTTGCTTTGCATACTACGTTTGCATATTGTCATCCACAGTTTCAGTCAATTTCAGGCAATTTCAGTAAAACATCAAACATCGAAGGTGGCAAAAATTATCATCGGTTTCAGCCTCCAAAATCCTTTGGAAGCCGTAACTTGCCAACTTTCTTAAAAATTCCTCCAAAAGCTTATGCAGCAACATTTATGAGTAAATTGTCCTCGTCTAATGCGGGAAGGAGATGATGGTGATGTGTGCTCATGGAATATTGAACGTGGCAGCTCAAGCTTTGAATGTTCTTTGGAACTTGTTTTCCAATCCCACTATTGATCTATCACAGAGACCTTTTTTATTTTCCCTCGAAAGTCTATCAGCCACCTTTGACTCTTTATTAATGAGTATTGTTTGCATTTAGTTTAGGGCAAAGTCAAGTGGAACGTAAATAACGATGACTTAGAACAACGTGGTACAGGCAGCACTGTGTTTCACGAACAGGTAGAGTCTGCCAGTAGGGTGGCCATGTTAGTGCTGTGTAATCCCATTTGAGATTGGGTTTTTTTTTCTAATTTAGACCGTGATGTGGGGGGTAGGTGTGCATATTAATATAGCCCTGTGTTGTATATATAGGCCTTTTTTTCCAAAATTGATATTTTAAGAATAATTCTGCCAATAGATTTTTAATCAATCGGGGTGTAGCATGGGGCACAAAAAGGTGTAACAAAACACACTCACCCCTCACCCCGCTGCCCTCACAAGCCATACAAGAAGGCAGCAGGAGATAAGCCATGAAATGTAGTAAAACCCTGGTGCGAGGGGGGGGCATAAAACGCAGACAGAACAGCGCAAACGGACGTTACAACTGCCGTTTTTTTTTTGCTTCGGTAAAGGTTCGAAACAAGAACAAATCAACATTACAGACTGCAGTCCACATTGGTGGCATTGTATTATTACTTACCTTATTTTACTCTCATTCACCTCACATATTGTTTCTTATTGTATCTTTCTATCTACGTGACTTTTCTAAAATAACCGAAGAGTATGGATTCCTGCAGTCACAAACGCTTCAAATCTAGATAGACCAAATAATACTTGGGAAGTATTAGACCGAGGGCCATCCAGAAGAGATGCAAGGCGAAATAGGTCAATCACACATGACCAAGATCAAATGTATTCCATAGAGAGAGCCTCCCAACCGCCTTTGTCTTCCAGAAGCACGTGGTAGCAATAAATCACAAAGGCAGTGACGGCACCCATCTTTGTGAGAGACAAGAGAATGTAACACCCAGCCACGAGGGAAGAGGGGGGGGAAGAATGCAACTGGGCAAAAGGAACCCCTCCCTCCTTCAAAATGAAAAGGTGGCTTGAGGAGGGGGACAGGAACCAGGCTTGAGGGGGAGACTTAACAGATTGCTTAAAGGTACGGATCAATGAGGAGGACATCTCCAGGAGTACTGTGTTGACATTCCTAGCATAAGAGTTTGCATATTAGAGTGTTATGTTTTTGTTTAGAGATTAAAGTTGTTTAACACAGAAGAGTCTGAGTGGTGCCTTCTTAAGTTCATGCATAATAATCTTAATTATAAGAACTGTATCCTGCGGTGAGATCTGAATCTTGAGGCCTGACATAAACACACTAAAACATAATCACTGTATTATCCTGATTGATAAGACAACCCTAGACAACGAAGCCGAGCTTAATCAGCATACTTACATCACACTTGCATAACTTCATACAATTCCTTGTATTATCCCGATTGATAATACAACCCTAGACAACGAGGCAGAGCCTAATTCTCATAATAACATACATTAGCATAATTACATACAATTGCATAACTTTATACAATTATACCTCCCTAATTAGCATAAATTACATGCATATTTACATAAATTAGCATCATTTCGGATAATTACACATTTCCCCCGGCGAGAGGTGGCCAACTAGGAGGAGGGGGGAGTGGAGGGGGTGGACGTCATGCCCCATCCGCTCATGGGGAGCGAGGAGGTGGGCGTCGGCCCCCACATATTGGTGTCAGAAATGGGATGACCCCCCACACCTCCAAGGGAGAGAGGCGCCCCACCCCAAGCAAAGGTAAGGCATGTATTCACCGGGCAAGGAATTCCTTCATGGAAGTCGTCTGCCCACAATCTCACATACGCAAAAGATTAATGGCTGTACGGACGCGCACGCGTTTGGATGGGCGGGCAGCCGACTTTGTAGAAGTGCTACCTGCAAGCGCGCAAACAGTGGAAGGAACT